ATTTTAACAGTGGACAGTGTTGTAGGCGGATCTAATATTCACCTCCGAGCAACTCGCGCGGGATTTGCACCCGAAAATCGTTAGTTAAAATCATCTTTGCCATGCACTTTATCATCTGGCTTCGAGGCTCGGTAAACATCTACCATAAGCCACCTCCGCTTCGGTGAGGAGTTGTTAATTATTACTGAATTGTTTTATTTTAGAGAGAGATCGCACGATGTTTTTTCCAGATTACTTTTTCTTTGCTGAAAGACGTTTGGTAAACCATACGATTGCAACAAAATACGTCAAAAATTTTGATGACTGCGAGCTTTTGTGCTACTTGAACGACAGCTGTGTCAGTGCTAACATCAAAAAGGATCCAGAGAATGATGGAATAGCAAAAAACGATCCAGAGAATGATGGAATAGCAAAAGGATCCAGAGAATGGTGGAATAGCTTATGCCTGTGAACTGAATAACGCCACTCATCTGAAGCACGAGGTGGACCTGATAACTGACATGGTTTTCTATTACCGTGGGTCTAAGGTGGGTTACAACTTAAAATTAGTGCAATAGTCGTCTCGGAATGAATATTAGGGACCTTAAGCAGTCAGGACGGCAACGCCAAGGAAGACGCAGTTTCGGTTCGCAGATGACGCAAATTGTGGTGATTTCACGTCCTTGTTTTGCATAGAACGGCTAAGAAATGTACAAAGTTTTGAGACGCTCGTGCTGAGTTATTTTTCTTTTACTTAAATCTTTTGTTTTTCCATGTCCTCGTTGCCGTCGCCGTTATGGTTTGCTTAAGGTCCCTAATAGGGAGTGTAAGGAACCCCGGAGACAAAGGTTTTAATGATTTGAACAACGGCTGTGCACACGCGTTCAAAATCTTTGTAAATTTCTTTGCTTACTCTGCAAAACAACCTCCTGAAATGACCAAACTTTGTGTTGAGCGACGACGGGTAATTTTTTAAATTTCTATTCATAATTTAACGCTGTGGACTATATTCAGTTTCTAGATAATTTTAAAAGTGAGAAACCAACTGAATGGCTTACGAGAATTGCAAGATTCATAGGTAAAATATAAGATCATTTTTTAACCGAAGTTGTCCACGGCGTCGGCTTGAACTCCTTAATTAGGAACCTTTAGCACTTAGGATGGCGTCAATGCAATTTTTCGTCAGAATTACGCGAATGGCTGAATGTGTTTGTCATCTCTTACGGCGCCACAGCTCAAAATATACCAAGTTTTAAAACGCTCGTGCTGAGCTATTATTCTACTCATTAGATCTTTTGTTTTTCCACGTCCTCGTAACGGGGTTTGCTGAAGGTTCTTTTACAAACAAACTCTTTTTTTTCTTTGTTCCGTTCTTTCCCTTTCTCTCTGGTTAATTTTTGTTTACTTTTAAAAATCTTTCTTTTTTGATTCAGAACGCCTGCAGCAAAAATCAACTCTGCCAAAATAACGCAGCTTGTCAGTCTGGTTTCACAATCAAAGGATATCGATGCTCGTGCCCTCCTGGATTCGAGGGAGAATATTGCGAAAAAGGTAAGTTTTAGATTTCAGCACAATTGTCGCTCTGATATTCATGCTAGCACAACGCTACTACCCGTGGGTTGATTAACAGAGCGTTTGATTGTTAAACGTGTGTCTCGTTTAGTTTGACGTTTATACTGTACTCCTTCGAGTTTTTGCAAGGGGGGAGGGGAGAGAGGGGGTCAGGTCAGTTATATTTCATTCCATACGTTTTATCTCAACGTCTCTTTAAGGAGAAAAGCGAAGTGTCTCATCATACGCAGAGGATGCGAAAGTACGCTTGAACTTGCATTTAATTCATCTGAAAGGTCTAAATGAAGAAACTCAAGAAAATATAAACGTTACAAATACGAGGATCGAGAAAAGTGGATGGTATTTGCTGAAGCAGTTTGCATTGTTGGTGGAAATCGTGAAACTGAAAAAAGGTTCCTCCGCACTCCCTTTGTTTTCTTTCTCGTTATTTGTCTAATTTCATGTTTATTTCGATCACCTTTTTTAGATATCGACGAATGCAAAACAAATTCTCACGATTGCAACGCAAATGCCTACTGCTATAACACAGAGGGATCGTATCACTGCTTCTGCAAACCTGGATATATCAGAAATGGACGGAGTTGTGCAAGTAAATTCGATACTTCTTGAGGCATCTGGGTTCTCATATGCAAGGCCTAGATACAGAAATCCTAAAAAAATGGCCCAAAAAAGCTTTCGGAAATCGTTTATGTTCTAAAAACCTCGTTTGACCCTGAAAACCTAACAAAATCCGGATTTTTATATCAAGCCCTATCATAGGCAGCAACTGAAAGGATATTTATCTTTTTATTTATCTACCTTTTCATTTATTTGTCTATTTCATCATTGATTCTTTGTTTTTTTTTTCTGATTGCTTCTTTTGATATCGAGCCGTTACGACGCTGAAAGTCGTTTGCTTCTTTTAGGTCAGAGCGTTTGTTTCTATTCAGTGTTGTAAAATCAAAACCAAAGCAACGACAACAGGGGAAATGCGGGTGACCAAGTTGTGTTTTGGTTTTAGTGTGGAATCTGATTGGTCAAGAAAGTGGCGCGAATTTTCAGGACCAATCAAAGAGCGAAGTAAAGCGAGAACGAACAATTCTTAGAGAGAACTATACGTTTAAGACTATGTGTTCATGATGATGGTCCACCACTTCATAAAATTCTACAACGGTTTCACTTTTTTTTTTTTTTTTTTTTTTTTTTACAACGGTTTCCTTTTGTTTTTCCTGTTCAGTTGATCCTTGTCAACTCCACACAGTTTTACATGATGAAGATCGAGACATAGAGGACGTTGGAGGCAATGAATGTGACAGCCAACTAAACGCTGGCTGGTATCGTTTCCTAAACAAGGCAGGAATACGAATGCCGACTACGTGTCCACCGACTGATACAAGGTGCGGTACATCATGGCCAGGTTGGTTAGAAGGAGTTCATCCGACGGTGGAAGATGGAATAGTTGCAAGAACTGTCTACTTTCGAAGGCGTCAAAACTGTAAAGAACTAGCTGCACACAACATTGAAGTGAAGAACTGTTCTTCCTTCTTTGTTTACCATTTAAGACCAACCAGTAGATGTAACTATCGTTACTGTTACTCCTCTAAGTAACCATTTCACCCCATAAGAGTGACTAGCGTGTAATTTCTCCTTACCATATCGCCCCTGAATCGAGCATTAGGGTCAGGAGAATGAAGCAAATGATCAACAACCAAAGAAGCTTTAATTTAGATGGCATAATCTACTTGTAAATACCAACTGTAACTAGTTGTTTACTGTTCTCTGTACATTTTTCCGACGGCATTAAACACTCGGGCTCTTAGTTTGAGCTGCACACCCACCCTCGTGTGTAAGTCATTATTTAAGATAGGAACGCCAGCTTCCTTGCGGATTTGTTGTGTAATGAATAGGCGATTACAATTTGGAGGTCGTTATAACCAGAGTGCGTAGCTGGCAGTTTTATTTGGGAGTACTTGAGCAAGTTGCGCGAAGGGAACGGAAAACAAAGATTCACGCTTTAGGAACGAAATAGCTCACAAGTTGATTGCGTGACAAGAATTAACTGCCAAATATGTGTAAAATATAGCCAAAAAAGATGCGCAATATCAACTTGAAGAAAGAATGAGAACGCCGGAAAAGGCCAAATCAAAATAAAATTTTAAAACCTCAATAGCCTGGTAAACTAGTAGCCAAATATATGTAGCATATGGCCTCATTGCAGCCAAATCAACTTAAAGGCAAGAATTAAAATCGCTCAAGCGGAACGAAAAATATTTCCATATCTATGTTGAGAGCTTTGTGTACCAGACTAAAATTTCGGCCTTTGTATCACCCTTAAGTAATTTGAGCAGAAGAAAGTACATGTAGCATGATATTGTGGACAGAGGCAAACCACATACGGGAGGCTCGCAACTGTCATCCCCAATTTCCCCAATGGATCACCTGGGAAGACAATGGGTACAAAAGATAAAAAAAAGGAAGGAAAAAAGAGAAGAAAGGAACATCCCAGAGTTCGTGATTTTCGATTACGTTTCATAACTTAAAATTTTGCAAATGCTAAAAAGAAGTAAACATTCCCTGTTTGTCTCATAATTACTTTATCTTATTTCAACTGAGATTATCATAATTTTATTTTTTTAGAGAAATTCTGGACCCATTGCGCATGGCCGGATAAATTTCAAGATGGGACAAAGGCACTATGTGCATAATCAACTTGGTGTACTCAGGCTTTTTGCAGGCAAAATAACAGACACCTTGCGCTTTTATCCTCCCGACGAACATCCTTTTTATTCAGTCCTACAATGTACTTCAGATCCTTTATTTCGGAGATGATTTTATTATTTTATTTATTTATTTTGTCTATTTATTTGCCACAAAACCTTACAAGTAAAACCTAGAAAAGAATGACTGGAATAAGAATTATGTAATTTTTCCAAGAACCCCTAAAAGCTAAAAGCTTTTAATATTTTGATTCCCTGGTTCTTTTATGTTTTGTTGACTAGCGTTTACATTTACTTTGGCGTTCAGTTACTTCACGACACTTATTTTGAGTTATGTGAGATAAATGCATAGTAATAAGTAGAAGCTGTTCAATTTTTGTCAAAATGATCGCTTTAAAGTCGCCATGCCCTATTATTTACACAAGTCGAAAAGCTGAGCGAAATAACTCACGTCCTGTAAAATGTCACTGTTAGTCTACAATTTCACTAACTCAGATTTGTCCTCTTGTTTTTTTTTTTTGTTCTGAATTTTTGTTTTTTGTTTGTTTGTCTGTTTGTTTTTCTGTTTTTGTCTAATATTTGTTATTTCGTTCTTGTTCCGTTTTGTTTTAACCTCTGTTATCAACCATGTTCTTGCATGTGATTATTACGGAGGCGATTATTTTTAGATGAAATTTAAAGCACTTTTGATCAATGATTATGATAAAAAAAAGAGGACTGCGCAAAATTCCTAGTGTACATGAATCTTCGCACTCAGTCTGAACCACAATAACGCCTTGGACATTTTGTCGGATAAAGTTTGTAAATATGGTAGGATCCACATTCTTTCTCAGAGATACTCACAGTATTTTTGCATCCAGTGTTTTGTTTACTGAAGCAGACCTCCGTGAAAGGAGGAGAATCTTTTCTGATTAACCAGCCAGAGTAGGTTGTACCACAACTTAATGCTGGCACACGCGTTGTTGGCATTTTTGTTCCTGCAGCTCCCACAAAACGATACCATCCCTCTTGGAGTTTGTCATCACATTGGTTCTCGCGTATTTTGTAACTACTCTTTCTAGAGGCATCACTGAGGTTTTTGTAATCATAGCAAGGATCGGCTACAAAGTTAAATGATGATTGTAAGAAGATTTTTGTCGTTATTACCAAAGGCTAAATAATCTTTTAACGCCTTCAAATCCTAACAGTTTAGCGACCGACCCTTATTATACAAGAACAATAACTATTATGCAGTAAGTAAGAGTTTAAGTAGTACTTGTGTGGGAATGTTTCCATCGACGAAGATAAGAAGTCAATGTAGGAAATAAAATTTTGTTAACTACGGCTATCATTATCTGAATTCATGTTTCTTCTTTCTTCAATAACGCATCAAACGAGTTGCAGCTTTAGGCAAGCCAGAGGTGCAGCAATATGGTCGCTAATGGCTAACTGAGCAGTAATGACTTAGACCGAATCTAATCTATAGCGGTAGATACCAAACGCACCTTCACAGTTAAAACCATCCCCAATGTATTTAGGATTACAAGAACAGTTGTATGAACCATAAGTATTAATGCAAGAGGCATTTGCATGACATTTGTTCAATTGATCAGCTCGAGCATTACTGCATTCGTCAATGTCTGAAAGAGATCATGCATAATCCGTAAAGATCAAATTACAGCGGATGTCACAAGATGATAGAGTTATCTAAAATTTGATACTCGTAATCTTTAACACCAATGTATGTCAAAAGAGCAGAATTTTCCCTTAGAAAATAGGACGTCAACGACAATGTAAAATAGCTTAAATCAGCCATTTATTCATCTGAGAAGTAACACGATGAAAATAATCCCCGGATTTCATTATGAAGCCAAGTTTCATCTGCAGGTGAAATAATTGCATTTTGATACTGATTGTAGAGATTCATTTTAAATTTCCCGATGTGCAGAAAAACATACTAAGTCACAGAGAAAAGTAGGATTTTTGATGCAAAATGCGTTGTTATACAGCTATAAATTTTTTTTCAACAGCGGCCCTATCATTAGTTTCTTTTGTTTCGCATAAAATCTAACGATTACATTTTTTGGGGCCAAAAGTTTCTCAACGGGCAACATTACAAAATTCTACGGCGCTAGAGAGTACAATGTCACGAAATTTTAACTATCGATCGCCGACTGGTGTAAAGGGGCTATATTCTCTCGCGCACGTGCAGTTAGAATTTCAAATAAACTAAGGATATGGCGAATGGCAATATTAGATTGAGAAAAAAAACCTCGACGTTATAAAATGTAATACTCCAAAAATAAATTTTACTCCGGTGTCCTTGCAGATTTGGACCCCCCGGTCCAAATCCGTTAGCGGATATGAGCCCCTCGGTCCAAATCAGCTAGCGGATATGGACCCCCCTCCGCGGATTTGGACCCCCCAACAGAACTGAGTGCAAACATCATTCTTAACATTCTCGCAGAAATAGATAATACTTTACGTTTCAGTGCGTACTAAAATATGTTTTTATTTCAAAACATGCGTATCGCCAATGCATACGAGCTGGCAGCTGGAAATGACACGTCGGATGTTTCTTTTGACCAAGGAAAAATGCGCAAGCATTTAGTTCAATGTTTGGAGAAAGGTCGTTTTTGAACCTTTTCCGCGATAGTCGAACACTGCTAGATTCAGTAAGAGACAATTTGTGACTTTTATTTTGTTATTGTTCAATGTCCGAGTGTTGGGACGACATGGTACAGTACGAATTTGTTATTTTAGATCCCTCAACAGCTAATAATCGTTAAAATTAGAAAATAAGATTGAGTTCGATGTAATAGTCTCCACTTTTGTTAAGACGTAGACATTAATATTGATTTGCATCTAAAAATAAGCTGAGAGTTCCAATAGCTCAGAATAGAAACATTTTTACTTATCATAGGCTTTACGAACGACTTGTATTAGGAGTAGTTACTTTGTTCTTGTTCAGAAGTTGTTTAATGTAATTTAATCAGAAAATCAGACTGAGTTATTTTTGTGACTAGACGCAATAGTCTCCACTATTGTTATGGCGTTTCGTATCAATGTTGATTCGCATCAGAAGTAGCAAAGATTTATTTTTACAATTTCAATAGTTCGAATGCCGTAGTTTGTTCGTTTCTAATTCTTGCGTATACTGTACGACTCGCTATATTAATGCGGCAGAATTGGAACGAAATGGCTGTTTTTCTTCACTTTATTGAGGAATGTTGTGTTGTGATTAAAAGGAGCATCGACAAAAAGCTTGCAAATAGAATTAGTTACCAAATATGATACAAAGGATGCTTAAACGGTTGGTCTGGAGTCTAAATCTGCGAAGGGGGGTCCATATCCGCCAGCGGATTTGGACCGGGGGGGTTCAAATCCTCTGTGACACTGGGGTTCTTTAATTCCCTTGTTCAAATGCCAGTTTGGGATAATTTTCTCGATTCTCTTTAGAGCATGCATTCATAGCATTGAAGACAAAAAATGAGGCTAGATCTTTTTTTAAGCTTACAGAGCTGAAATCAAATTTTACACTTATCCTGGGTTATCTTAACCCAGCTTTGAACAACCCGGCACAGGAGTTCAAATATTTCAACGAGCAGTCGATGCAAATTAAGACAACGATTAGTTTTGTCAGTAAATTTACATGCATTGGATTTTTTTTTTAATCTTCATTTTGTTATTTAACATATTTACAAAAAATTTATCCTTAGCTTCGAGGTTTATGGTAAAACTTGGGGTTTCTTTTCATGCCTTCGTCTATTAGTATTGCAACCTCCATTTAAAGGCAGAAAGAAACAAATAGTACCGAAATTATTCAATTACAAAATAGAAACATGACCTGAGGGGACCGTAAAATCATTGCGGGCAGTGCAAAACAATCATCAAGGACCTCATTTTCTAACAGTGCAGAATGCTGCGGCGTAAAAGTTGGACTTTTCCTAACAGTTCTGGTAAGAGTTTTCTTATACTAAAGGAAAGCTATCAAATTCACCTGTGCAATTTTGTCCATTTCCAGTATATCCAGGCTGACATTCACATACATGTGATCCAATGGTGTTCGTACATTTTGCTTTCTCGTGACAGGAATGCTTTCCTTTACACTCGTCAACATCTAAGTAATCACAGGAAAAGGAACTCACAATTATGAAAAATTTGCTGTGCATCAGCCATTACCTTGTTGAAGATTGCAAGCCATGGCTGCTGTCAACCCTGGATTGCGAGAACGAGATTCTCTCAAATGTATAAAACAAGTTATCTTTGTGAAAAGCTTGCACTGCAAAAGTTTTAGTTGGGTAACCGCCTCCCCCTTCGTTAAAAAAAAAATTGAATCTTGGCTTTCCACGGTATCGTAAAAAACGTACAAAATTCATTGTAATTGTCAAAAAGAATCTGAAAACTTTTGAGATTATTAAATGTACCTGTACATCTGCGTCCATCTCCAATATATCCAGGTTTGCATGAGCAAACGTGTGATCCGTCTGTGTTATTGCAAGTCGCGTTTACGTGGCATTTGCCAGGGTATGTTATGCATTCGTCGATATCTTTCAAAATAAAAGAAAAAACAGAGAAAAGAATGAAAAATGGGATTTGGTTTTTATTCAAGAGTCATATAAGTACATGTATGAAAAAAGTAGGATACTCGTTTGCAATTTTCTAGTTTCATGTGATTCTCGGGCTGGACCCGTAAGTCAAACCGCTATTTTGGAAATTTTTTCACGAAGGTACAGCAAATACCAGCTAAAGCATAAGCTATTAACTGCTCTTATTATGCCACGGGAACACAAAACACGGCATACAAACAACGAAAGAGAGAGCCGGAACGAAAAGAAATCATCCATGACCGCATTTCCTTGTTATTCCGAATTCACCTGTGCAATTTTTTCCATTTCCAGTATATCCAGGCTGACAATCGCATACATGTGATCCAATGGTGTTGCGGCAGTTTGCATTCTCGTGACAAGAGTGGTTTCCTTTACACTCGTCAACGTCTATGAAATCAGAGATAAAAAAAAATGAGATTTCAAAATTATCCAAAAAATGCCTTTCATACGCCATTACCGTGTTAAAGAGTGCAAGCCATGGCTGTTTTCAACTTTTTGCTGAATTGCGAGAACGCGAGATTGTCGTATATGAAGAAAAAAGTTATCTATGTAAAAAGCTATCACGTGATAACTTTTAGTCGGGTAACTACTTCACCTATTTTGAAGAATTAAAACATGTCTTGCCACCTTACCAAAATAAAGATCAACAAACAATCAAACTGACAAAATCTCATTGCACTATTCAACGAGAATCTGAAGGCTTTTGAGACTATTAACGGTTACCTGTACAATTCCGCCCATCTCCGATAAATCCAGGTTTGCATGTGCACACGTATGATCCGTTTGTGTTATTACACGTAGCCTCCTTGTGGCATTTACCAGGGGTTGCTTCGCATTCATCAGTATCTGTCGTGAGATTAGAAAGAAACAGAGAAAAAAAAAGGAATAAAATATCAACTTAAGTTATTTTCGGTTTCCATCAGAGAGTCATATGAACTAAGCAATTCACAAAAACCTAAATTTATTTGAAGCTTCTTGTTCTTAGTGGTTCTCAGGTGGGACCTTTCAATTAAGGTATTACTTCTGAGCTATCCTTGCTGTTACTATATTAAACATACGACATGCATTTGAACTGCTCTCATTTTGCCATGGAAAGGCGTCGAACGAAAATATACAGACGATTGAGCGAAGAAAACAATGCACACAATAAAATATAATAAGAAATTTTCTTTTGGAAAGATTCAACACAATATACAATGAGACAAATTCACGCCACTTTCAGCAACTAAAGGACAGTTGTCATACCAGCATTGAAAATCAGATAAAAATCTCCCATATACATCATTTCAAGTGTTGACTAAGACTTATACCCGTTTCACAACTTTCTCCCTCGAATCCAGGAGGACACAAGCATCGATATCCCTTGAGTGTAAATCCAGACTGGCAAGTTGCGTTATTTTGGCAGTGGGAACTCTTGTCACAAGCGCTCTGAAGGAGAAAGGGAAAATAAAATGAAATTACGAAAAAAAGATGGAGGGATTGACTGACAGAAGAAACTAAATACCGGAAGATCGAACACACGGAAATTTGCAAAATCATTAATTATTGTTTTTATATTATTCTAAGGCGACAATTTCGAAAAATCGATTTGTAACTCACCTTCGAGCCACGATAGTAAAAATTGGCATCAGTTGTCAAGTCACTGTCATATTTCAGATGCGTTGCGTTATTTAGCTCACAGATGTGACCTGGTTGATTATTGTCAGGATCCTTTTTGAAGTTAAGACTCACACAGCTGTCGTTCAGGTAGCACATAAGCTCACAATCATCCAAGTTCTTGACGCGTTTCTCTTCGATAGCATGGTTTACCAAACGTCTTTCAGCAAGGAAGTAGTAGTCTGGAAACAACATTGCGCGCTCTCGCTCTGCAGTAATCAAATTAAAATATTATTACAAGACATAATTTTCCGTCGCGAAAAAAACAATTTCGAGCACAAAGATCTGAGAACTGATCTCTTAGCAAAAGTTCTCGGATCTCAGCAAACTAAGGTGGCAAATACGTCAAGAACGTAAGTCAAACAAAACATTTGACGAAAAGGAACGATAATTCGTAAACTTGTCTGAAAACTTTTAAATTGCTTGGCCGTTTTCTACAATTAAACAATAACATAAAACTACCTTAATTTGAGAGTTTGAGTGTTTCTGAGGTACGGAACCTTGACGGCAAATTTTTTGTGTTTCGCATGAATTTGGCAATTCAAGAATTTTAGCTGTGTCTATCATATCGATAAAAAACGTCGAGCCTAATGAATAATTCGGTGAAATTCTTACCACAAAGGGATTTAATCGGTGTTGGCAATTTTTGATGTCGTTGTCATCAGTGCAATGAACTTAATTTGAATTCTCATATAGAGAGCCTTTAATATCTCAAAAACTTTGACAAAATGGTTTTCTAGGGCTTTCCTTTTCCTTTCTTTTTTTTCCTTCTCTTTAAAAAAACAGGTGTTTGAGTGTTTATTTAAAGAATGTATAACTGAAGAGGTTCCCTGTGGCTCCTTCCTTCAAACGGTTATCGTGAACAGAGGAAATTCATGCAAATTGAAGCCGAAAAAAAAAAAGATTTATATCAGTTTTTGAAAGTTTTCTAAGCAAACAAATCTAAGAAAGAAATGTTTAAATTTACACTTTTGTTAGCCAACGTAGGTTGTTAGAATTGCTTAGCTATGATAAATATAATCATCTCTTTATTTCCGTCATTTGTTTTCTGAAAACAACTCATTTATCTGTTCATCGTTTTCATTTATTAATGTTGCTTTCCTCATCTCGAATGAAGTCCACCCACATCATTTTTCTGTTGTTGGAAAATATTGCTCACAGCGATAGAGTTTTAAAAACACTGAAGAATGTATATTTGAATAAATTTCAGTCTAGTGTATCCTTGCAGCGAGATTAATTTTTAAAGAACACAAAATTTGAAATTTGCACGAATGTGCAAAGGTTTTGTCAAGGATCTTCTCAATCAAGCTATTCGTTCTTCGGCAAGTTTTAAAGCCTCAACTTAAAAAGGTAATACTTAAAAGTATTTTGTGTCAAACGTTTTTTCTTAATTCCACAAAATGTTTCAAAACTTATGAGTCGGGCTACCCTATTTTCATTAAAAAAATTTTAAAACCAGAAAACGTGGTCTATTCCAAATGCCAGCATTATTTTTCTGTAAAAATAACTAGGCTTAAGTTGGCTATGAGCGGCCAATTTTTCTTCCATGCAAATTATCGAATTCCCATCTGCTAAACAACAATGAAATGTTTGTGATAGAATTGATTACCCTTCCATGTAAATATGAGCTGAGCGTTAGGATTGAAATGGTTTTGAATGAAGCAATTCTTCATCGTAGCCGTTCTTAGTTTTTTTGTAACAACTGCAAATTTGCGATATGGCCCATCATAATAACAACTCTCTTTAAAATACCATTCAATGTTTACAAAACAAGTTTTCAAGAGTGAGGTTCCTTCCTTTAGAGGTCATGTTTGTTGAGTTCAGGTTTTTAGTTTTTTCATTGCTCAGTGCATCAACTGTTGTGAATCAGCGAAATAGAAATAAAGAGCGATGGGAAATGAGATAACACGGGCTGAAGTATCAATATAGGGATAGAAAATGATTCGCATTTTGCAACTCACCTTTACCAAACGTCAAGTAAGTCATCGATGCAGTCCAGGCTGCGAATACAAGAAACGTTGAAAATTCCATGCTTCCTCAAGACAACGGAGCTCAATATTGTTGCTTTCAGCATGCCACAAAATTCGAGTCGAGCACCTGCATCAGTTCAATAATGGATTAAGTAATAGAAAGCGTCCTTTTTGTATTGAAAATGGAATATTAACAAGATTAACAGCTGTCAGTCCAGACCCATTGAAGTTATTGAAGCAAATGAAATACGTGGGCCTGCAAGTAAACACGTTTTCGATGTCTTCCGTTGTGTCAGTTAGAAAGACTTTTCTGAAACATTTACTTCGATTGCTTCATAATTACAGTCAAGGGAGTGCGTTTTAAGACAATAACATATTATTAACATATTCTTAAGAACGTTAGGTGAAGATACTCCGATAACTCAGTCATAAAAAGCCAAGTTCTCCCGTTGTTCAAGAAGAAAGACAAATAGATGCCAGAAGCTATTCATGTCTTTCTATGAGACACAAAATACTTCATTAATAATTTATCTCTTATATTTTCCAGCTTGCTTAATTTTTTGGTGGAAGTTGCTCCAATTTTCAAATTACACTTAAAAATGTCTAAGTTCTCATTAAGTGTGATGTGCCACTAAAAAATAGCACAGAAATTTCGAACTTCAATTTAATTAAAGAAAAATTGCGTGATCCACACCTCTAGTCTGCAAGTCTCTATTGTTTACATTGCAATAGTGTTCATCTAGATGCACAGATGATTAAATTTCTGAAATTGAATACTCTCTGACAATCTTAAGATCTTAAGCACAGACGAAATTTTTTCAATGTCGTTACATTTTTGTTTTGCATCTAAGGCGAAGAACTGTATATAAATTCAAGAAACTGTTCCAATAAAGAATTGTGAAATTTCGAAGACAGCTTTCGGGACATGGGGTTTTTTCCCAGCTAAGAGGCTCGCCTTTCTCAGGTAACTCATTTAGCGTCGCTCTTAAGGCCATGTTTACTATTCGTGTGGTTGTCAGATAGCTGTCTTTTAACTGTCGACCGGTCTCATCAAGGCGACGTGAAACGAAATAAGCACATGCATATGAAGAATATGGAATTAACAATCAAGGAAATGCAGAATATTGTGGTGAAACTTGCAAGATGTACCTTGAGAAGCATCGTGTATGTTGCAATATTTATCCTGAATCTTGCATCTTGCACTTAACAAAGGGTAAATTATGATTTGCCTGGGTTTTACTCAAGCATTCATGAAGTAATCGGTTCGGGAAGTGAAACGCTTCCTGCCATGACAATATTACTTCCGCTGAAGGAAAACGACTTACTGATAACTCCTCAAGGCCACTCGAAAATGGCATTACCTTTTAGCCATCACGGAAACATTACAGTGTTGAGGGTCTTAAAATCATTTAGGAACACTAAGCAGCAGGCTTGTAGAACATCGAGGCGGCAATCATGTATTGTCTCTATTTCATTTTCTACGGTCTTCTTTAGCAGAGGAGTTTATGAAGAAACGGTTGCTAGATTTTTTTCTTGTACCTTTGCTTTTAAAGTGCTGTCTTGAAAACAAATAATAAAAAAGAAAAATTATAGGTCCTGCGTAACTTTTACCAGCCCACCGAAGGGTTGGTAAAGCAAATGAACAAGGTTATGAACATGTTTAATCACAACCTGCTATCCGTTTGGCTTTACTTTTGTTTGCATGTAACTAAAGGACGTGGAGTGGTCAGACAAACATTATGGGGTGCTCTGCAGAGAAGTGTTGATTATGAAGCCCTACTAACATCCGTATAGAAGCAAGGAAAGAGGGGATGTATGGAACCATATAGCTATAAACCTGAATGGCTTTGATCATCCGAAATTCCAAGTCAATAAAAGATCCACAAGAGACAGACTGACCTTGTTAATTACCAAGAATAAAACGGATATGCACCAAGAGGAAAATGCCTCTGGAATCGCTTGCGAAGAGACTGAACTAGACCAAGCTCTCAAAGACATAATTGATAAGGAGAAGTTAGCCAACGAAAAGGCTCCGAAACAAAGAAAAAAGAAAAGGAAATAATACTCTGAAATATCTCGAGTAAAACTGAACACAATGTGACCAAACACCTGTATCTGTGTTCTGCTACTCATAATACACCCTTAAAATGACCGACTTTAAGTGAAGAGTTTAAAAATTTAGATACAAACTGCAATCTTTCATAATAGATACTGTCTTTTAGGTATATTTATACCTGGAAAATGAAAGTACATTCATAGTGAAAGTGCTTACGTGGCAAACTCCAGCCTTAGTAAATTTTTATATACTCAGCGTTTTCCGCGAACTCAGTGCAGTTCATATCCATTTTTCCTACCTTTGATGCTCAGTCGAGTGAGAAGGGAAAAGTTTCGGGACAATGGCCACTTTGTTTTCTTAATCCTAACAGCCTCGGGGTGGCTAAAAGTGGTTTCAGTCATTCTAAACCTGTCAAATTATAACCGAACGACACACACCAAAAGCCACACACTGCATAAGGGCAAATAGTCTGTGAGGGAAATAGCACTTAGGACTATATAAAGGTTTTGCATACACCGGTAGAGAATAATTTTGCTTACTATGTTAAACACGTGGTCAATTCTCAAAAGCCCCTCAAGCTACTTCGCTTGAAAGCACATGCAGCTTACGACACGAACCAACTCATGAAACATAACTAAATGTTTTTGTCTGTAATTGAATAGTATGGCGGTCTGTATTTAAAGTCTGAATTTTAATGAACACAGGCAGGTTTAACAACTATGACAATAACTCTTAGAAAAATAACTAGTGACAAAAACATATATCCATTCATATCTCGATGTTTCTGCACCTCTGAATTCTCAGGAACTAGATTTAAAGTGGACGATTCGTTCTAGATAAAGTGTGCCCCCTTACTAGCCTCTCTATACAGTGCATGTATGAAAAGCAGAAGAAGAAGCTATCACGTCACTAAACTCTTCCAAGTTCTGCGGATCGTAGCAAACTGTATTCATGAATAAAACTGACAGTCTCTAGAGTCAACAGAAGCCTGCAGAGAAACAAATGATCGGAAGCTCATTTTCGATTCGGGTTTTTGCCTGAGGGTTTTTCTATTTAACAGTTACACAAAGGAATTGAATGCTCATTGAAATTTCATAATTCGTAATGCATATCAGAATTAAGTATTAGGA